GTGTTCGATCTAAAACCCTAATTTATTTAATTGGGTATTCATCTCATCAAATAATCTGGAGTAAACTGCCATCTAATCATCAAGTGTTAAAGTCATTGTTTTACAACATTCGTGAAGTTGGATTACCTTTTAGTGATGCTGCAAAACTCACTCTGACGGAAGTTCTTGTTTTCTGGGAGAAAGCTAGAATACCTTATCAATTACAAAAAAAATGCTGTTCGCAAAGTCGAAAAATTATATAACGAATGGAGGGMACTTCAGAAGTGTTCAAGATTGAAGACAAAACGTCAAGAAAAAAAAATCTTGCATTCACATCCAAACTGTCCGATCTTTTTGATGTAGCAGTGGAAGATGCCATTTCAAAAATGTCTAACCAGGAAGATATTAAATTTTTGACATATCAGAGAATGAAAGGACGTCCAGGACATATGGAAGGTATCGATGTGAATACAGCTCTAGCTGAACAAAGAAGAGAAGCAAGAAAAGCAAAAGCAGAAGCAGAAGAGTGGCGATGGCTACAGATTTCACCAGTAAGCGCTGGTAAGTTTATAGTATAGTTGCCCAATTTTACTTAAAAATTAGATACTCAAACCCATACTTAAATAGGTAATAAAATGCTGGCTCTTAGAAGCTATAGCCTTTATTCGTTCCTATTTGTTACCAACATCAACAGTATTTTTCTCCCAAAATCCATACATATCCCTTCCTTTTTTCATTTCAACAGAAAATGTACGAGACATCTCCTTTTCTTCTGAATCAGAAGTGGAAGAAATCACCTCGGACGAAGTATTTACCGATGATGAAAAAGCCAGCAAATTGGAGACAGCGAGTAAAAAAAGGAGATACAGTCGTGGTTATAAAGAAGTAATGACGTAAAAATTATCAATTTTGCTAGATAGGTGCAAAATTTCTGATAGAAATGCTGTGCGAATAATTTTCGCAACAGCTGAAAGTCTGGGCCGTAATGTCGAGGAATTTGAACTTAGTAGAAGTGCTTTAAGAAAACGCAGAATATCCTTTCGAAGCCAACGAGCCCAGAAAATCAGGGCGAGGTTTAAAAACTTAGACTTAGAGGGTATTGTTGTTCATTCGGATGGAAAACTTTTAAAAAAACCTTCTTCAGAAAGAATGTGCTGAACGGTTAGCAATCTTGGTAAGCAAAGGAGACTATGAACAACTACTAGGGGTCCCGGATTTAGAAAATTCCACAGGCGCCAGTCAGACAGAAGCTGTTAGTAGCGGTAGTCTAGAAGAATGGGATATTGGCGATAAAATTGTTGGTATATGTTTTGATACGACGGCTTCCAACACAGGACGAATGAAGAGCGCATGCACCTTGTTAGAAAAACAGCTAGGTAAAAGTTTGTTGAACTTAGCCCGCCGCCATCACATTTTAGAGGACGTTTTACGGTCAGTATTTGAGTACCAAATGGGATCAACGACTGCTCCCCAACCTGACATTTTTAGAAGATTTTAAATACATTGGCCTAACATAGATCAGTCTAATTATATTGAAGGGGTACAGGATGATTCGGTAAAGAAGTCAGTGAAAGAGTTCGAAAAAGAGGTTTCGGAATTTCGTCTCTTTCAGTTATCTGAAAAACAGCCGAGGGATGATTACTTAGAACTTATTAAGTTATGTTTAATATGTTTAGGAAAAGTCACTTCTCACGATGTTTCGTTTAACACTCCTGGTGCTTATCAWCACGCCCGTTGGATGGCAAAAGCCATTTACTCTCTGAAAATGTTCATTTTTAGAGAACAGTTTTCYATGTCCGAAGAGGAGTTCAGTTCACTAAAAGCTATTTGTTTATTTATTGTTAATTTGTATGTGAAGATGTGGTGTCAAGCTTCAGACGCAATAAGTGCACGTAGTAATGATTTACAATTTGTTCAGAATGTAATTAAGTACAGACGTATTGATCAAGGTGTATCAGAAAAGGTATTGGGAAARTATTTACTTCACCTGTGGTATCTGAACCCGGAACTGATTTGCCTTAGCTTATTTGACAAAAATGTWTCAAATGAAATAAAAAGAAAAATGGCAAAAAAGATTTTATCGTACAGGAATTTAACAGAAGAAGAACGGTCTTCAAGGACAATGAGGGTGCAAGTTTCTGAAAATGAAGCTGTAAACCTATTTAAAAATATTTCGCTTCTGAACTTTGTTTCGGATCAAAGCCTGGCCTTTTTCGAATATTTCAAAGTCAAAACTGATTTATTGACAGAGGACCCCAAGAAATGGTCCGAAAATAAAGACTTTTTGAAACTTCAAAGTTTTGTTAGGAGTATGAAGGTAGTAAACGACCCGGCAGAGAGAGGGGTTAAGTTAATTCAAGATTTCAATAGTTTTCTTACAAAAGATGAGGAACAAAAACAATTCCTGCTTCAGGTGGTAGCGGATTGTCGTCGGCTTTACCCTGATACTTCCAAAAGTACCCTTTCTCTAATCTTATCTGATTAATGATATTGGAAATAATAATATATAAATAAATTGATAAATTTTTTTTATAATTTTTGTTTTTAGTATGAATTTTCTTTTCTATATGTTTATTTTTTAAATAGATTTGTTTCCATCGTCTTATCTTTTTGTTAAATATTGTATCAATTAATGTACGAAAACTGAAAATACAATATATAACTAAAATATTTTACTAATTTTTAGCTTTTTCTATTATAATAAAATAAAGGACTTCAGTGTATGCATTGTTTATGATTAAGGTAAGGATAGTTTCAAAAATCGCGGAGAACCTCGAGTGTTACTGCGAAGAACTATACTAAGGCATTTGACACGAACTTGGTCCATTAAATGTTAAATATCTTCCAAACCATGCATTTCTAAAGAAAATGTATTATAATAGACTTTAATTTCAACATAATTACCTTTCATTTGATAATAAATTTATTGTTATAGGTGGAATCAGTCATAAGTTAAAGTCGAAAAATAACGCTTTTTCGCGAAAAATGGCAATTTTATCAAACTTCAAGGCCTTTTCGGCACGGGAAGGCAAAATCCGATTGAGGTGAAACTGTCACAATTGTATTTTTACACTAAATGGCACATTTCTAGAAGTGATCACTTCCAAAAATTGAAAGTTTATTTTGAAAAACCACCCTAGTGTATACATACATAAAATTGCTTAGATTCCGATCCTCTGGTTGACGTTTTACATCAGTATTTCTGTGGCTTTGATCCCAGCAAGTTGCAAGAGTAAAAAATGTTCGGTTGCACCCGAACTTAGCCCTTTCTTTCTTGTTGTCGATTCGTTTGTTTGAATTCTATTACCTAGCTCAAGAAACTCACGACTTCCCATCTATGACCAAGTATTCTCTGGGTAGCCTAAGAATATTACGCACCTTATGTACAGGTGCAACCGAAACTATTGGTTAGTTTTCGGTAAATGCAAAAGAACAACTGATACGATGAGAAGTACCATGTCGCAGCGGAGAGAAAACAGACTGCCTACCTCGCAACGATACGAGTGACCACAACACGTGCGGGATGAGACAAATACCGAGAGTTGAAGAGGGAAACAAGGTGCATTTGCAGACAGAAAAAGAGAGAGGCCGAAAGCGCTAATGCTCGAAAATTTTGCGAAAAGATGCGGCGGAGGTTTCAAGACCGGAGCATACTCTTATAGAAGCCTCCAAGGTGATCTTGTGATCGATGCCCGATGCATAATAAAATTATGGAGGGAAAACTTCTCCATCCTGCTGAATGGCAGTGAAAGTACAACACCAGAAGAAGGCGAACCTAATTCCCCAATCGATGACGATGGAGCAGACCATCCATTGCCCGACCATGAAGAAGTTTGAATAGCAATTACCCGCCTGAAGAACAACAAAGCAGTAGCCGATGAATTGCCGACCGAATTATTCATACACGGCGGCGAAGAACTGATAAGGAGTATGCATCAGCTTGATTGATTGGACCTTATCAGTGTGGTTTTAGACCTGGCAAATCAACAATCGACCAGATATTCACCATTCGCCACATCTTGGAAAAGACGGAAAAGAAAGGAGAATCGACACACACTACCTCTTCGTGGATTTTAAAGCTGCTTTCGACAGCACCAAAAGGAACTGGTTTTATGCCGCGATGTCTGAATTTAGTAGGGGAAGGTGGGCATGGTTTTGATTTCGGTTAAAAAGTCACATAAAAGTTATTTTTTGTGAAAATTCCAAAGCATGGATTTGTAGTGCGAGTCGTAACCTTCCTTTTGATAATATTTGTTTGATAAAATTCTGCAAAAATTTAAAAGTTATAGCCATTGGCGCAAAAAACCTGATTTTGCCATTTTGAAAAAAGGTGGGGAATGTCGGGCCAGTCTGTAAATCGATTAAAACATGATTGTTACCGATGAAAAATGTATATTTATCAATGGAAATGAAAGAGAGATTCATAAATAATAAGAAAAATAGGAATTGGCGAAAAAAATTATTCCGACTCGCAGTGGATGCAGGTGTAAGTGTTCGGGTTCGGTCCGGCACATTTCAAGTGAACCCCTCGATCACAAACGATGCAATGGGCCGTGTTTTGACGATTCTCGTGCTTCGGCATCTTTTTCTTGCAAATCGTGCAAAAATCGAAGTCCTCTTCGATGTCGGTTTCGGTCGGAGACGGGCTTCTCTTCCGTGGCGTCTTCGATTTGCCATGGCCTTTTTGCTTCTTGGCTTCTGGTTCATCGGCTGCCTTCGTCAATTTTTGCCGCTTTTTTCCGCCTTGTCACGCAGATCTGCGACAACCTCAGGCAATGTCAAAATCGTTGACTCCATTGTCTTACGGCCACGTTTTGATTTCGGCGCAGGTGTGCCCAATTTCAACGGGCCAACCGACAACGACGATGATGCAGCACCACTTGTTGAAGCTGGGGCACTTGTCGATGCCTCCGACGTTGACACCTCCTCATTCGCAGCAGTCATAATGGCATCACCAGAGGCAAGAACTCGACGTTGATTGTCGGCGTCTTTCTCTTCGTCACCGAACAAATTTTCGCCGTTCAGTTCCGAAGCGACAAAGTCAACTTTGTTGTTGTTCGGAAGCCGGATTTGATGGTTTTCGGCGTTAACATAACATCGAGGCACTGATCAACAAGGAGCGGCACATGATGCAGATCGAAACCAATGATGGACTTTTTCCATGCATCATGCTTCACGGTCATCATGCCTTTAAATGGTGCAAATACCGCAACATCTAGCGGCTGCATTTTGTGCGTGCATTTCSGCGGAAAAGACAGCAACGTGATGCCATGATCCAACGCCAAATCTATCGCCTTGATCGATAAATGCGAACCGTGGTTGTCCAGCAGCATCATGGTTGGCGAATCGGCAGTAGCACCGGTGTGCTTGATGAAATGACGCACGAATTGAGGGAATACGTCAGAGTTCATGTAACCAGAAACTTTCGCAACACCAACAGCGCCATGACGCGCATGAGTCATAAAAATCTCTTTCATGTTTACTCGGGGAAAGAGAAAGAATATAGACTGGCCACTGGCGCTGACGGCCAAAGCCAAAGACACATTGGTGCCTTTTTCGGCAGATGTTGATGAGCCGACCTGCTTTTGTCCTTTGCGCGCGATGGTTTTGACAGGTCTGGTTGGCACGGTCGGGCACCCGGTTTCGTCCATGTTCCATATTCGGTGAGGTTCAAACGGCGTTAGTACCGCGGCATAATGACTAAAAAAAATTTTCGGAGCACGAAACTATCAGGAAATGTTGAAAAACTATTGTGTTGTTGAAATTCTGCACGAAAAATCACTTATACACGTCAAATATGTGAAGTTAGCATGTCAAATGTAAAAAACTATGTGGCCCGATATTCCCCGTAAGGCTAAAGGCTCAACTAATATTATAAACATATTTACCTGGATGAATTTATTGGAAAATGTGAAAAAAATCAACTGTACACAGAATTGAAAAAAAACTTTCGGAGTGTCGAATTTCTTTTTGTTGTCGCAGAGAGGTTATAACACGTGTTCACAGCTCGAGTGCTATATAGAAACTGAGCTTAGTATGAGACGAGCCGATGACAGTTGGTTGCAGCTGTCAACCAATACTAGGGAAAAAAATATCGCGCTGGCCCTGGATTCCCCATGTGCCCAACATTCCCCAACTTCCCCTACTCCAAAAACAAAATTTCGCCGAAAAACAAAGACAATATCATTTTAAGGTACTTTTTGGTTAATAAAATAATATAACAATAATATATGTATATATCGCTCCTATCCTTAAAAAAAAAAAATTATAGGTGATAGAAGAAATCTGTAGTTATTTTCTACATTTGTGGCAATTTTTACATAATAAACACTTTGTTCTGTCCATGTCACTAAAAGGAAGTGAATTTTTGTTAAATTTTATCTCTAATTAGTTGCTTTTGAGTTTTTTCGAGTGATTGATTTCTAGCTGATCGAAGTTCTTTTGGAGATAAATTTATGTGATAATTTCTTGCTCTTTGTACTTTCATCCAGCTAGAATATCTGCTTACTAAATTCCGTTTGATTGTTCGTTGTTAACAAAATTTTTTCTTAGTCGTTTATTTCGACATTCTGACAGTGCTCAGATAATTGGTAATTTCACTTGATTTCTTCAATTCGGTGTCTTACAAATCTGTCTTTGTCCTTTGAATTTTTAATTAAAGTTTATAGTTGAATAACTCCATGCAAAGATTTTGTGATTATTGATAATGGATTTTATAACTTAACTAATCACTTTAGATAATAAATAAAAATTGTTAACTTTTGTTTTTGGTGTTAAAAACTTAAGTCAGTATTTTTTATGTATATTAGTAGCATAAGCTCTTTCTAAAGCATCAACGAAACCCTTGTATTTGAATTTCAGCGTTCATAAAAGTTCCTATTCATCTTGAAACTCGAACGTTTTCTACTAAGCACAATTTTTGTATGAAATACCGCCATTCCTTTCGTAGGTCTATTGATCATGATTGAATTAAAACTTTGCAACAATAACTATGGAAGAAACCATCCCACTGAATCGAATAAGCGCAAGCTGAGAAAGAAGTCTCTTTTTGTAATATTTGAGTATGTAATTATTGAGTTGTCCCCAGTATTTGGAATGTTTTTAGTAATGCTGTTGTGATTTGATAACTACTTTCTGAGATGAAATCCAAACCCTTGAAGGCTTGTCATGAAGTCATCCATGTAGAAGACTTCTTCTATTATATTTTGTAATTCTTTATTAAATCTGGTGTAGAAGTCCACGCAATTGAGGAAAATTCTCTTAACGCCATGCACTTGGGAGCGGAAAAAAATGATTCTATATTCAAGCAGCTCCCGACTTCCGGTTCTAGACCGAGTATCCCCTGGGTGGCCAACGATATGACCAAAGATGCCTTCTATGAGGGCTTGGAGCTCACATATGAGTCAAAATAGTGCTTGGCGATTTAACCGACAGGGTGGACAATGAAATCATTTTTGGCACTGCAGTCGATAAATTCAGTCTTCATGAGGAAATATCCCCAAATGGGTTGAGGCTGATCGACTTCGCCGGGGCCTGACATATACTACTAAATTCCAACATAGAAAAATTCACCAAGCCACACGGCTGTCTCTGGATCGAAAAGCCACCAACCAGATCGATCATGTTGTGATAGATGGAAGACACGTCTCCTGTGTTTTAGATATGCGTTCGCTCCGAGGTCTTAACATCGCTGCGGACCACAAGGAAGATTCGACGTCGATAAGCTGCAATCCCAACAGATAGCCGAACAATCTTCCACTCGACTTGCACTACTATCCAACTCTTTGAGAGCACTCGTCAACAACTCGATATAAGGAAACTGTGGGACGGCATTTCAAGCTCCTTACTTACAGCTGCAGCTCATATCATTGGTTTTCGGAAAAAGCAAAAGAAAAGCTGGTACGATGAGGAGTACAATGTTACACCAGAGAGAAAACATACTGCTTATCTCGCAACGTTACGATCGACAATAACACATTGGGAATGGGATACCGAGAGTTGCGGAAGGAAGCGAGACGCATTTGCAGACAATAAAAGAGAAATGCGTGAGTGTGAAGAGCTTGACACGCTCGCCGATAGGAGTAATGCTCGAAAATTCTAAAAAATATGCGGCGAACAACTGAAGCTTTCAAGACCGGAGCATACTCGTGTAAACCCTCAGAGGTGATCTAGTGGCTAATGTCACTACCCCCAAAGTGGCGGGGCCGATGGATTGCCGCCGAGATATTCACACACGGCAGCCGTGGAAAAAGTGTTCTCAACATCGCATATATGGTTCTATCGATTGTTTCGTGTGAAAAAATAAATCCCACCGTCAACAAACTGATTGGACCTACATGGCTTTAGACCTGAAAATCTACAAATGACCAGATATTCACCATGCACCAAATCTTGGAAAAGACCCATGAAAAGAGAATCGACACACACCACATTTTCATCGATTTTAGAGCTGCTTTTGACAGGACGATAAAGCGGCACTTTTATGCCACTATGTCTGAATTTGGTATACCCGCAACACTAATACGGCTATGTATACTGACGTTGAGCAGTAGCAAAAGCTCCGGCAGGATTGGGAAGGACCTCTCCGAGCCGTTCGATACTAAACGAGGTTTCAAACAAGGCGACTCCCTTTCTTGCGACCCTTGGAGATAATAATTCGAGCTGCAGTACTAAATAGGGAAGGTACTACCTTCCATAAGTTATCTATAAGAGTGTACAACTGCTGACGCACGTTGATGGCATCATTATCATTGGCTTCAACAACCGCGCCGTTAGTTCTGCTTTCTCCAGATCTCATAAGAAAGCGAAGCAAATGGGTCTGGTAGTGAACGAGGGCAAGGGTCTGAAAGTTTTCGACGAAGTACCCATGGAGGGAAATAGAGAAAAAGGAAGACTTTCACTCCGTTGGAGTTTCCAATTGGTGCGCTGTTGTCAACTCGGTTACAACCACGTAAGAAGTTTCTACGCCAGTAAAGAAGATGAAGATATAACTGTAACTTAGAAAATTTTGCAACATATTATTATTCTTTACGTATCTCCGCAGTTCATCTATAAGTAAATTTTTGAAATTTCTATATTATGGTATCATGTGACCTTTATATTTACAATATGTTGTACATATTTGCTTGATATGATGTTTTGTATTAGTTAGTGTGTGTTGTCCTTGAAGAAATGTTGCTTTGTATAAACTTGTTGTTTACTAGCCACTGTTTTGATTGTTTGAAAATATTGAGTCCCCATTTCAGCATCGATTTTTTATAGTTTCAGGACTTGATCTTTCTAAAAGTCTTCCATGAGATCATCAGTGTCTACAACATTAAAGATACCATTAGACTAGCAAATGTAGGAAAAAATATGCAATGATGGAAGCGGTCTCCATTCATTCGGTCTATCTTCCACTTAACATCCAATCCACAAAAAAAGTAGCCCTTTTTTAGAGAAATTTAAATTAGAGGGCGGCATTAGCTTTTGCTTCTTTTTTTTGTAACATTGAGTAATTTCACTCACGCGGTTATAGCCTAGTTTACAACAGCGCGCCAATCGTCAATCGTTCTTCCTATTCGATGTTTGACGCCAATTGGAGATTCCAAGTTTAGCTAGGGTATTCTTCTTTTCAACAGAGTGGAGATCTTCCTCTGCTTACCCCGCCGGATACTGCGTCAACTACTCTCAAAGCTGGAGTGTTTTTATCCATTCGAAAGGCACGACCTAGCCAGCGTAGTCGCTGTCTCTTGATTCGTACAGTTCATCATTCCATCGACTGCAGTATTCTCCGTTGCCTGTGCTCAACGGACCATAAATCTTCCTTTCTATCCTAAACTCGTAACGTCCACTCACCAGCTGTTGTCATCGTCCATGCCTCTGTGTTCTTCGAGAGAAGACTTTACTTGAGAAATCCTTTATAACTGACATTTTTCTTTTGACTGTTTGCTCATATAATTTTAGACCTTCTTTGTAAAATTAACAAATAATTACATGCGCTATTAATGGATCAGCTTCTTACGTGATGAGTTCTTGCGACTATTTAGCGTTAAGATGCTCATTTGTAATCTAGCAATAGTCACTTTTCATGTTAGGTTAATCTAAGGCTCTGTCCCACTATGTTGTGAACAGAATTCTTTTGTTTTCATACTTTTATTTTTTTTTAGAAATGCGAAGCCTCCGTTTGCTACTGACATCTATGTCTAATAACCAATAGAATACATTGCTGACAGAGTTCAGTTAGCTGCGCATAACACATT